AAGTGGACTTTTTGATATCGGGGTCGGATTCCTATTCCAGAAGTTAGAGTAGGTCCGTAATGTTGAATATGACTTGTGTGCAAATTTTGAGGTCAATCGGACGTGGTTTGATAGGTGTCAGCATCTGTTGTAGAAATTTGAAGTTTCAAGTTCATTAACTTAGGATTGGAGGGTGATTCGTAGTTTCAACGTTGTTTGATATAATTTGAGACCTCGAGCGAGTCCTTATTAGGTTATGGAAATTGTTGATATGCTTGGACGGGGTCCCGAGGGCCCCGGGTGTATTTCAGACGAGTTTCAGATATTTTTCATGGTTTTGAACATGTCTGGTTCTGGGGTTTTCGCACCTACGACACTTTAGAGCGCAGGTGCGGCTCCTCCTCTATGTGAGACTGGTCGCTTCAGTGGACATGGTGTCCTGGAGGCTCGCTCACTTCTGCGAAGGCCAGCTCACAGGTGCTAAGGCCGCTTTTGCGGTCTAGCGGCCGTACCTGCGAAGAAGCTCGCTTCTACGTTTCCCCTTTAGGCTTTTGCGGTGACGCTGGTGCGGCTGTAAATCTACAGATGCGGTTCCAAGCCTGGCTAGCTGAGTTTGCAGATGCGGACTCTTGTTTGCAAATGCGTTTGCGCAGGTGAGCCTCCTTGTCCGCAGATGCGGAAATCCTGGCAGAATCATTTAAGTCAAGGGTTTGGGCATTTTCTTCATATTTTGAGTTTTAGACTTCGGCTTTGGGAGCTTCCTTGTGGGTCTTTTGAGAAAACCGATTGGGTAAGTGTTCTTCACTTAGAATTTAATATATTCCATAATTTTATCTTCTTTTGTATCATTTAAATTGTGTTTTGAGTTGAGGAAAATAGAGGTTTTTAAAGCAAAATTCCAAAATGAAAACATCATGATTTGAGGGATGAAATGGTATCGGAATTTGATAATTTTAGTATGGATGAACTCGTATTGGAATAGGTGTTCGGGTTTTGTGAAATTTGTCGGGTTCCGAGGTGCGGGCCCGAGGGTCGACTTTTGGGTCGATTTTTAGATTTTGATAAAGATTGAGGCTTTATGATCCGGAATAATTTCATATGAGTTTTACTTGTGCTTTGAAGTTATTTTGGTTAGATTTGTGCCGCCAGGAGGTCATTTCACCCGAGAAGTTCATTTTAGAGTATCGGTCTGTCTTCTTTGAGGTAAGTATCTTGCCTAACTTCGTGTGGGGGAACTACCCCTTGGGATTTGAGTTTTCTATGCTAATTATAGTCCGGGTAGGCGAGGTTACGAGTACGTTCTCAGACTTATATGTGGAAATTGGCCTTTTAGAGTTCTTAGGTCCTTGTATTCACTGATTATGCAGTTGTTATGTTATGAATACGTCTCTTAATTACTAGTTTCACCTCTACCTGCTTTAATATGAAATAATTGCTTCATGATCCTCCCTTGATTCTTATTTGACTCATATGTGCCTTATCTGAAATTGTTATCTCTTCTATTGCCATGTTATCTTTCCCCTAGCTGCTTATCTTCATTTGAAGTTATAATTATCTCTTTTGTAAATGTTCATCTTTAATTGAGGCTATGATTATCTCTCTGCTGCTTATCCCTAATTAAAATTGTTGTATCTCTTTCTTAATTACCAACCTTAAGAGAAGTTAGATATTCTATATTTTAGTTTACTTGTCCTTATTTGGAATTATTCTCCTTGTGTTAGCTCCCTCACTGTCGAATTGTTCATTGCCGACCATTGTTGCATAATATTTCATTTCTTGTTGAGTTGTTATTATTATGACTAGCATTATCTATTTTGGCCACTCCTTGTGAATTAATTCCTCCGTTCCTTTGAGTTCTGGAATTTTTGAGTTGATTTATCTGTCGTACCCTTGTATTAGTGTTATTGTTGATGTTGTACTTGTTGTTCTTGCATATTTACTTTGGGACTATGAGGAGGTACCTCGGAAGATCCCCATGTCTTGCATATTTACTTTGGGACTACGAGACGGTACCTCGGGAGATCCGCCTGTCTTGTGTATTTACTTTTGGCACTACGAGGCGGTACCTCGGGAGATCCCATGTTGAGCATTTACTTTTGGGACTGCGAGACGGTATCTTGGGATTGCCCCTTGTTGACATCTCTTTGTTATGATGTTGCACGAGGTTTATTCCGTGCGATTGTTACTATTGATTTTTGCACATGCGGCGTGACAAGGCGGGATATATATATGTGGGTTTCCATGTAGCGAGAGAAGGTGGAAATATTATTATGCACGTGTGACGAGACAAGGCGGACAGTTACTTTACTATTGCACACGTGGCGAGACAAGGTGGGCTCTGGCAGGGATTGATTTGTGATGATTTGCGATGGCCTGGGGGCATTCTTGTTGTTGATATTTGTGTAGTGATACACTTATTTGTGAGAACTTTATCTTGTGAAAGTTGTGAGAAAACATTCTACGTGTTGTCCGTTCTTTTCCTTATGCTCACTAGCTGGTATGAACTATGTTAGGACACTTGCACAAGCATACACGTAGTTAAGCACTCTTATCGGATAAGAGGTTTTCTTTATATTGTTGAGTATAAATGAACACCCTTGCTTACTTGCCTTCTATGTGAGAATGGCTTTATTTGGCACGCGAGTCGTTAGAGCGGTTATGAGGTGAAATGAGGGCACAGGATGCCAAGTGTTAGGGTTTAGGTATTGAGACCCGTGAGTTGTGATTTGTTCGAGGTTCGATACCTCGTGGAGTTTATTGACTAAAACCCGGGGTGAAAGTTGTCGTATTATTGAGTTGTTACTTGTCCTTTATTTATCTGTGATTATTGGACGTAGGTTGTGTTTCCGTTCATTCTTCTATGTCATTATTATGGTGTTCCGCTGATAGTTGTTGTTTTCCTTTCTTATTTCATCTACCGTATTAATTTCCACTTCGCTTAGTCTTTATGTTGATAACATACTCTGTTGTTTCTATACTTGTACTTGTTCAGGTTATTTAGTCCAGTAGGTGTCTTGACTGTTCCTCGTCACTACTTCACTGAGGTTAGTCTTGATACTTGATGGGTACCGCCGTGGTGTACTCATACTACACTTCTACACATTTTTGTGCAGATCCAGGTATTTCAAAGTCAGTTGATCATAAGCTAGCTATGCGGATTTGTTGCTGTGGAGACTCAAGATAAATCTGTTGCTGCGTTCGCAGGGTTCGGAGTCACCTTCTGATTTGCATTCACGCTGTTTACTTTATTTAATACAATTGTATTTTAGAAAACTGTAACAAACTCTGTAGAGCTTATGACTTGTACTACCTGTTTTGGGAATTGTAAATTTTATAGAGATCTCTATTACAAAAGTTGTTAGATGTTATTTATTATTATTGTTATTCAGTAAATGTTAGGCTTACCTAGTCCCTAACACTAAGTGCCATCACGATACCCAACGGAGGAGAAATTTGGTCTTGACAAATCTCTAATCAAGTTTTACTTATTAATACAAGTAATTAAACTAACAAGTTGAGTTCAAATAGTGCAAGTATTGCATAATAAAGTCCTATGTCTACCCGAACATAACATGATTTTTAGTTACGTACGGACTCTCGTCACATCGTGCGTACGTAGAACCCACAATTTAGTAGCAAATAACAGTTTAGACACCTATAGGGTTAATTCTCTCTTATAAGGCTAGGCAAGAGACGTATCTCATTTTCAAGTCCACTTCCTGGTCCACAAATCACACTAAAAAGCCTCAAGTCGGTGCCGAGCAATCCAAAACTAGCCAAAAATTGTACAAACTAATCAATATTTTCTCAAAAGCTCATAATTACCTCACCCAATTTGGAAGATTCCTAAAATTCATCCCTGGACCCACGTGCCCGAATTTTGGTTTTTTCGAAAATAAATATTACCCATAACCTCACGAACATAAATATATAATTTCTACTGAATTCCATAATCATGTTCGTGATCTATCTCATTTGTATCAAAACCTAAGTTTTTTTCAACAAAATCCTATAATTTCAACAATTTACATGTTAAAATCTACCCAAAATCCATGCATTAAACTCACATAAAGTAGTAATTACTTACCATAAAATGCTAGGTGAAAAATCCCTCTACAAGAGCTCCAATATCGGCTAACCCAAAGTGAAATAAGAGAAAATGAGCCTAAATCTCGATTTAAATCATGTTTATGCCTAGTGGTCCATACTTCACGATCGCAAAAAGGGCCTTGCGATCGCAAAAGCTAAAATGCCAACGCTTAGAAAAAAGCTCTTCGCGAACATGAACGGACCGTGTCCTCGTGATCGCGAAGGCTAGCCCAGCCCATGCTTCGTAAATGCTACCTGCCCTTCATGAACGCGAAGGGCAATGACCCACTGACCACAAGCCTTCTTATCCTTCAACGCGAACGTGGACGTACTGTCGTGAACGCAAAAGCCATAGGCTTGACCTTTACGAATGTGATCACGTGATTGCAAAACGCGAAGAACAAAAATGCACATCCCTGGATTCCTTCTTCGTGAACGCAAACCCATCTCGACGCCTCGAAACACATAAAACAACATCGAAACTAAGACTCGCACCCCAAAACCAAATTGATCAACTTAAGAACTTCACATTTCTTCAACTATCTCCCAACACGTCGAATCATACTTAGACAACTCAGAATGATGCCAGATTTTGCGTACAAGTCATAAATCACCCTACTCACTTATTCACAGGCTCGAACCAAATTTAAAGAACTTGAAAACCTTCAATGTGCCAACTTTCAACATTAGGCACCGAAACGCTCCTGGATCACCCGAAACTCGATACGAACATACACCCAAGTCAAAAATCATCATATAAACCTAGTGGAACCATCAAATATAGGTTCCAACATCGTATATTTAATATGTTGACTCAAGTCAAACTTGGTCATCTTAGGCCACTATTAAGGAACTAAGTATTTCGATTTCAGTCCGAATCCTTCCAAACACAAACCAACCATCCCCGCAAGTCATAAAATAGTAAAAGCATATATGGGGAGTCTTAATTAGGCAAACGGGGATCTAGAAAGCAAAACGACTGGTCGGGTGGTTACAAGTAGAATCTAAACTTGGTTTCAAAATATTATCTAGGCGAATTTGATGGTATTTGATTCCAAGTTTTGGATATGTTTTAGATATTAAAGTCTAATTTTCGAGAAATCAAAAAGTTCATTATTTGGATTTTTCCACAGCAAGATATGAATCATTTTTTGCAAGCGCGTAAATTTGATGATTTTAAATGTGACTAAGATAAAAGGCGAACAATGTAAAGCAAAAAAGAAGCAATATTACCTATGATGAATTTAATATCCACTAGTTCAATCTAACATAAAGATAAAAAGGGAGATAATGCTAATAGTATAATCTAAATAGAACTTGTAGTTGACCAATTCTTGATAGTTAGTCTCCAGGTTCTTCTTCTTCTCCTCGAGATTGGCCGAATCATCAATAATTAGCAAATTTACATTGTCATGTGAAGAGACCTTAGTCTCGGCAGCTGAAACTTTTGCTTGAATATCTTCAACCTCGTTTTGAGTCGCTTCTATAACACCTTCGAGATTCTCCCCCTCTTGTTGTAATGTGTGCAACCGCTTTACAACTCTCTTCAGTTTCATTTCTATAGAGAAAACTTTCTTGACTTTCTCGCTTGCTTCAAGTTTGAATGATTCTATACGCCCCTTAGCTTTGGAAATCAGCTCTAGCTTCTTATCTTCACTCGTTTAATTAGCCAAATTGGATCGATCTTGGTCATACGTAACGGCAAGCTCGAAAAGAGAATTCAGAAAAGTTTCTAATGGGGAAAGAACCAAAACATTCACCTTCTTCATAAGATCTCAGTGATTTGCTCCATATAAGATGAGAGCAATTATGCACGAGTTTTGGAGAGTCTATCGCAAATATCCTCCTAAATTCCCAAGATGAATTCCTTTTTTCGATAAATAGAATGCTCTTTCCTTCAGAAATAGATACTGTTGCATTTATCGTTCGTAGAACACAAGTTATCTCATTTGTAGTTTCTCTTTTTAGGGCTTTTTCATGAGAGAGAGATGATGCCTTTGAAGACGACTTTACTTTAGACGTAGGCTTTGTAATGGATTCATCACTAACTTGCGCCTTATCATGTGGGGATGCCATCGGGTGCCCAATGGCCTTTAGCTGCACAAGGAAAAGGCAAAGAAAGAAAGTAATATTTGTTCAAAAAAAGGGACAAAGGCGAGATTATTTTATTCTACCTCTTTGTTACAAGTTGTATGCGTTCTTGAGGGACTACCAAAACTTGGAACCTCTACAATCTCTTTTGGGTTAGGCCTTTTTATTTTCCAGTGTTGATCTTCGTTGGTACTTTGGTTTGTATCTTGTGGAACTCGCATGCCAAATGGAAGATCTTGAGGGTGTTTCTCAATATTGTTGAAGTGCACACTACCTCTTTCAAAGACGCCTTTATGGATTTAAGATTCCTTTTCTTATGTTGTGTAACTACTTTTGGGATTGGAGTATGTGGTTCATTGACTTTTTGAGAGCCTATTTCCAACACCTTGATCTTCATCTCCTAAAGGGGTAGTAGAGTTTGGCCCAACGTTGTCTACCAAAGCTTGTAAATTATCTTCAAGAAACTTCCCATGCGCTTTCTCCCACCAAGAAATATAATTGGTGTAGAAAAGCTTCTCTACAAGATCTCCCGTTGGGGGAAAAGCCACATGTGACATAGATTGATACAGTGTGCAAATCCTCCAAAATTTGAGTCCTTCATATAGAGAAGCGCCACAGATATCATTCTCCAAAAACCTGGGGACGTTCTAGTAAAACCCAATTGACCGACCAAACCGATACGGACTATATGGCTCAATAATGAATGAGTTATCATACCTCAAATGGAGGTAATTAAAACGTAAGCTCATGAAGTAATTTGACTCAAACTCATGAGGGGCCTCGTTATCCATATAATAATAAGGACGAGAATTAGTTAACAATGTTGGTGTCTAAACTATATTCTCTTCATCGTGGATGCATTTCTTGCATCTTTCTTATCAAAATAAGTCGCGGCGCCCTCTCCTGAGTATGCCACCATCAAAAGGACAGATGGGCCCTTAGCTAGTGCGCAATGGGTTTTGAGGTAATGGGCAAGCCAACCGTAAACATAATGGATAGGAAAACAAACTATGACCTGATCAAGTTGGGAAAAACATGACATCTTATTCAAGCCATGATAGATACTCGCCAAAACTGAGACTGCAAGGCTAATCTTTCGCCCGCTTGCCATCTTAAAAGTATCGGGACGAATGAAGTTCTCTACCTTATAGGGAAATACAAAAGCACATAGACAACATGATAAGAAGGTTGTTAGATATGTTTAATCTTTCTTGTCAGACCTCACCTTAAGCTTGGAAAATATAACTTCTTCATCACTTGACCACCTAGTTATCTCGGGGATAACTCCGTTAGGATTATGTGTTGACTTTAGGTGCGCGAATTTATTATCCTTCCGCAGTGGGGAATGTTTATATATTAAATATTTCTTATACCAAAACATTGTCCACTTTCTCAAAGAGACCTTTTGGTTGACACCCGTACCTTCCTTAAGATGATGAAAATCAACAAATAAATACTCGCAAGATCGAGGAATGAATATCATTTGTTTTTCATCTAAACATGTGAGTTCCCTTGTATTACGTATCATTTCTTCGTATGGAAAACCTGCAATGGGAAAACCCCCTAGAATATGTAAGTCCCAAAGAGAGATATATAGCTCCCCAGCTTATGTAAGAAGTGTGTTCATCTTGGGGCACCAAGCATCACAAAATGCTTACAAAATGTTCAAGCTTCGATCATAGGTAAAAAGCGAGGCATACACAGCATCACAAAACTTTGTTGTACTCAGGTTTTGTTGGCTTCTACCAAGTACATCCTCGGCCCATTCCCAATATCCTAGAATGTGACAATACTCGCCCTCGATCATTACCTCCTCAATGCATTTCTCCTTGAATTATGCAACGCCCTAAATTCGAAAGAGTTCTAGCAATGTTTACGTAACGAAGGATTGGCGCTTGGAGGGACCACGTCTTGGACAATGGATTAGAAGTAGACTTTTGCTCCAAAGTCCAATTTTCTATATGGAGCGGGTTTCTCAAGGAATGCCATGAGGATGCATACCGGCCAACTTGTGGGGTGTGAATCAAAAATTGGTTTTTTCTATGCCATCTTCATGCTCGATTATGAGATATCTAAGTTTGGAGGAAGGTGAGGTATAGTCTCTGAATTTACCATCTCTTTGGACTGCAAAGAAAAAAAAGTCATTAATGTCTTAATCAAGAATAACTGAATGGGTACAAAGGTCCTAATGGATGAAGTGGCCTTTGATTTTCGGGCGGGGGTGAGTATCTATCCCTTCACACCCTGAGAGTAATCTCTCTGATGTTCATACGGGGATGAGTATCCATCCCTTCACACCCTGAGAGTAATCTCTCCTATATTCGGGATGGGATGAGTACCCATCCCTTCACACCCTAAGTAATCTATCCGGTTTTCGGGCGGGGATGAGTATCCATCCATTCACACCATGAGTGTAATCTCTCTAATATTCGAGTGGGAATGAGTACCCATCCCTTCCTTGAGATCAATCTCTCCGATATTCGGGCGGGGATAAGTCCCATCCCTTCACACCCTAAGTAATCCCTCCAGTTTTTGGGCTGGGATGAGTATCCATCACTTCACACTCTAAGAGTAATCTCTCTGATATTCGGGTGGGGATGAGTATAACAATTAAAGCATTTAACAAGTAATATTTGAAAACAATAAATAAATATTCCAACCCTCTTGCTTAACGCGTTACTACATATATACTATCGTCACCTTACATATACGCAGTCCCCACACATAAATCAAATAGTAAATAATCCAATCAAGTCCTACTTTCCACAACTCAAAGTTAGATACGACACTTACCTCTTTGCGCAACCAACTCAACAATCAACCACACCTTCTCCTTTCGAACAAGCCTCCAAACCAACCAAATCTAGCCAAATATCGTCCAAACAATTCAAAAAATCTTTAGAAACTACCCACGGATGAAAAGATTCAATATTGGATAAAATTTAAAGAGTCAACAAAAGTAAACCCCGAGCCCTCTTGGTCAAAATCTGAGATCTGGACTAAAATCCGATTACTCATTCACCCCCGGAGCCCGATTATGTGATTTATTTGGAAATCCGACCACAATTTGATGTCTGAATCTCAAATTTATAAAATCCCTAAATTCTACCAAATTCTATATTTTTACCATGAAAATCCCATATTTGATATTAAAAACTCATTAAAAGTAATGGGGAACTGAAAGAATGTGGATTAGAGTTGCTTACCAATGATTTTAGGAAGAAAAGCTCTCAAGAAAATCACCTCTAGAGTATTTAGGGTTGAGAAATTGAGTAAAATAAGTTAAGTCCTTATTTTCCCATCTTGTACCTAGTTGCAGGTATCGTTATTGAGAACTAATGTTCGCAATTGCGACCATCGCAAATGCAAAAAACTGGTTGCAAATGCGAAGAGAGCCCCCAAACTGCTAAAGTAGCAAATGCGACAAAACATCACATTTGTGATACACTCCTTCATCGCAAATGCGGTCAAAGGTTTGCAATTGCAAACCTGACTAAGTCTAGTGCCTAGTCGCAAAAGTGACCAAGCATTCGCAAAAGTGATATAGTGATGTCCGCAATTGCAGACAACTCTTCGCAAATGCGAAGACTGTCGTGCCTAGTCCTTTTTCGCAAATGCGATCTCGACTTCGCAAAAGCGGAGTTCGCATTTGCGAACAGGTCCTCGCAAATGCGAGACTTGCAGATCAACACTAGAAACTGAAGCACACCAACTATCTCAAATCATCCAAAACTCATCTGATACACACCCGAAACTCACCTAAGCCCCTCGGGATCCAAACCAAGTGTCATAACATCCTAGAAAGTTGATCGCTACCTCAAATCATCAAAATAACATCAAATAACATGAATCAATCATCAAAACTCATGATTTTCAACTTGAAAATGCATTTTCATAATTTTTCACATAACGCGCCGAAATGCGCTTGGGTTTCCCTGTACCGCAACCAAATGTGCGAACAAGTCTAAAAATAGCATACGAGACTACTGCAATCGTCAAAACACCTATCTGAGGTCATTTACCAAGAATGTTGACTGTGGTGAACTCAAGTCCAAATTTAAGCCTAAAATCATATTCTCTTCAAATTCTTACGTAAACACTTTCTGAAAAATGACATGGACCACGCACGGAAATCAAGAAACATCAAATGAAGCTAATAGAGGTCTCGAAATACGGAATCAAAGTATAGTACCTAAAACGGTCAATCAGATCGTCATAGATGATTAACAAGTGAAGAAAAAGAATATTTGAGAGAAAAGGAGCTAGAGTAAGTAAAATAGCTCCTTAATTTTGTATCTTATAAATTAATATTATATACTGCCGAGGGTTATGATGAGATGGATAGAATCTTTTTATTTTTAACTAGAGAATTAGGGTTTGAGCACTTATAATGGAAAAAGTTCTAATAGGAAGCATTCTCTCCTTTAATGTACTTTATGCAGCATAGTTCCAAATTAGTAGAGGCCCCAATGAGGATATTAAATACCAGGTGAAAAATAAAAAAGTACTCTGAACATTTTAGAGAGGAACAAAGAGCATACATGTTAGAAGCAATATAGTGAAAGTGGGTAAATTTCATTAATGCATGGTACTTATTTATGTGAACCTATTTCTTTTTTGGTCCGTTCCAAAAAGAATAACCCATTTCTAAATTTGGAAATAATTTTGCTTAAACTTACAATTCTACCCTTAATGAGAAGCTTTTATAACCACACAAATACTCTGGGGGCCTTTTTGACTTGTTTAGGACCACAAATTTCAAAAGTCTTCATTTTTTCTTAAACTCCGTGTCCAGTCAAACAGGTTCATATAAATTGGAACGGATGAAGTAATTATTAGGTACTTACAAATAATTCTCCTTGGAAAAGATATTGATTTTATTTCTCTAATCTATTTACTTGAGCTTCCAAGCTTTTCCCCATTCCATATTGAATCTCTTTAGTCTTCCAAAAATCATAACAACAATGAGAACCATTTTACCTTCATCACTCCATCTCCCTGCAAATCCATACGATTTATTCTTACAAGTTGGGTTTGGATTTATCAACCGATCACAACTATATCCTTTTGAGAAACCAACATTTCCATATGCACTACCAAAAAAAAAGAAAATTAAGAATCAAATTAGGAATTATTCTACAACTTTAGGTTTCTTTGTTTATCCTTTTTTCTTTTCTTTTTTTATATATAGAAATAGACAAATAAAAAGATGGAAAGAAATACTTCGTAATTTACCTTATGACTTCAAATGCAATATTAAATACATTGAAGTTGAGTGGATCAGCTTTCAAACTTTTCCTTTCCGTGATGCAGATAAGAATAATAAATATGACAATATAAGAAAGCTGAGAAAATATGACATTTTCTGCAAGCTTTCCTCTTTCTTTCTTTTTCCCTGGAAGATCTTCTCGATACTCTTCAACTCCTTTTACGGGTAAAAATGTAGTATATGGGGGAAGATACCTGTAAACAATTAAAGAAATTTTCTATGTGAGAAACACTACAATTCACGTATTTTAAAAACAAATTTTGAAATTTTAAAATAACCATCACAAAAGAAACAAAATTATTCTTACTCATATGCATGGCTACTTAAGTCAACGAACCACACAGTCAATCTCGAAAGTTTCACATGGAAGTAAGATCTTTAGGTAAACAAAATATGTAAGTCAATGTCATGAAGCAATAATTGCTAGCATAAAATAATTCCACGACATTGGATAGTGATGACAGTTCTTTCTTCCAATAATTTAAGCATGGTTATATCACTTGTGACTCGTGGGCCTTAGTGTTTCTAGTACTGTACTAGAAATTGGAACAGACAAATAACATGTTATGTCAAAATTTTGATCATGAAATTCTCATACATATTAGCTGGACAAAAAAACTCAACTTCGATAGAAAGTATATCTAAATCACATTACATCCACCTTAATTTGTAACCATTGGGCCAAGATTTGACCGACATATCATGTCAGAATGAAAAGTTTTGTTTTCTTAAAAGAAAATTAGAAGTGGCAAAATTAACTCAGACTTATTTGACCCACCTAATTCGCTCAAGTTTTAATAGGTTTGGGCTTGAATAGTTTTGAAGATAGGCTGTTTTGGGCTAGCCCAAGTTAACCCATAAAAAATCATCACCCCTAATGGACCCATGATGATGCCTAATCTTTACCCTATGGAAATGCTCAATCTTAAAATTCTACCTTATCCTTGTTTTTGAAAATATTTTCTAATTCTTCCATGTTAGTTTAAATGTTTGAAAAATATTTTTTTTATGAATTCGTTTTCTCAAATTGGTGGAAATTTTTTTCTATATCAAGAGAAGGGACAATATTTTTTAAAACTTTTTTTCAATCTTCCACATCTCCACCGAGCCTCACCACCCCCATCAACCACACCAACCCCACCCAACTCCTACCACATCCCCATCCCCACCTCGCCCCCACTCTCACACATGCACCACCCAATCCCATCCCTACCCCGACCTCATCCTAGATATATAAAAATATTATTTAGAGTACTTCTGTTCATATGATGTAGAAAAAATATTTTCATTAAAATCAACAAAATGAGTATTTTTTTCATGACGTAGAAAAATTAATCTCTTTCATTTCAACAAAAAATATATATTATTTTCATGATGTCGAATGATTTATTTAACTAACTGTTATAGACAAAAATAATCATCCAACATGAAAAAAAAACCCTGAAAATAAAGAGAAACACATTAAAATAACAACTTACCCAATATTATTCCACACTATGGGGTCTGGGGAGGGTAGTGTGTACGCAGACCTTACCCCTGACCTTGTGAGGATAGAGAGGTTGTTTCTAATAGACTCTCGACTCAGGAAAGTATAAGCACCACATTAATGAAAATATAGACAAGGGACAGTACCAAAAATCATATAAAAGCAAAATAAAACAACAAGATAGTAAGGTGATCAACAATGAAAAAAATAACGGTTAGTCATAAAAACCTATTACCAACAGAAAGTGAGATTGTGTGTCAATACTATTGTTACGAACACTCTAGACTACCTACTCTACTACCCTAATCCTCTACCTACATACCTTCTTATCAAGGGTCATGTCCTCGGTCAGCTGAAGTTGCGCCATGTCTTGCCTAATCACCTCTCCCCACCTCTTTTTTCGCCTACCTCTACCTCTCTGTAGGCCCTCCACTGTCAACCTCTCACACCTCCTCACAGGAGCGTATGTGGTCCTCCTCCTCACATGACCAAACCACCTAAGTCGCGCTTCCCGTATCTTATCCTCAATAGGGGTCACACTCACCTTGTCGCGAATAACTTATCATATCTAACCTGGTGTGCCCGCACATCCATCTAAACATCCTCATCTCCGCTACCTTCATCTTTTGGACATAAACGATCTTGACTGGCCAATACTCAGGCACATACAACATCTTTGGTCTGACCACCACTCTGTAGAACTTACCTGTAAGTGTCGGTGGCACCTTCTTGTCACAGAAAACACCCGAAGCGAGTCTCAATTTCATCCATGCCACCCCAATATGATGTGTGACATCTTCATAAATATACCCACCCCCCTGAATAATACATCCAAGATACTTAAAACTTCCTCTCCTAGGGATGACTTGCGAGTCCAACCTCACCTTCCCTCCCATCCTTGAGTCTCGCCACTAAACTTACACACCATGTATGTTGTCTTGGTCCTGCTCAACTTGGAACCTTTATATTCCAAGGTCTGCATCCATACCTTTAATTGCGCATTGACATTGTGTCGAGTCTCATCAATCAATACAATATCATCTACAAATAACATGCACCACGACACCTCACTTTGGATTTGGCGCGTCAGTACGTCCATCGCCAGAGCAAATAAAAAGGGTTGAGTGGCGACCCCTGATGGAACTCCATCATAACAGGAAAATGGTCTGAGTCCCCACCCACCATCCTCACTCGGGTCTTTACTCCATCATACATGTCCTTTATCAACCTAACGTAAGCAATAGGGACATCTATAGCCTCCAAACATCTCCACAAAACCTCCCTCTGAACTTTATCGTGCCCCTTTTCTAAGTCGATGAACAGCATATGCAAGTCCTTCTTTCTCTCCCTAAATTGCACCATCAATCTCCTAACAAGGTGGATGGCTTGTGTTGTCGAACACCCCGGCATAAACCCAAACTGGTTCTCAAAAATAGATACACTTCTCCTCACCCTTAGCTCTACCACTCTCTCCTAGACTTTCATATTATGGCTAAGCAGCTTGGTACCCGATAGTTATTACAATTTTGGATTCATAACAAATAAAATTTATGTCATTAAAATAACGAACGGTACTTAGCTATTTTTTAGGTATCACAAAAAAATAAAAGTAAGCACTCAAGATATTTTTCCTACGACAAGAAAAGAAAATATTCTTTTTGTTGAAATAAAAAAAATACTACCTCCGCTCCAATTATGTGAACCTGTTTGACTGGGCACGGAGTTTCAGAAGAAATGAAAACTTTTGCAATTTGTGGTCCTATACAATTCAAAAAGGGCCCCAGAATATTTGTGTGGTTATAAAATCTTCTTATTAAGGGTAAAATTGTAAGTTTAAGCAAAATTGTTTCCAAATTTAGAAAGGGAGGTCATTTTTTTTGGAACGGACCGAAAAATAAATATTTTCACATAAACTGGAATGGAGGTAGTACTTTTTTCTATAACAGGAAAAGAAAGTGCTCATTTTGTGAAAATGAACATACTTTTCTACATCATGAAAAGAACGTACTCTTTTTGTTGAAACAAAAGAAAATATTTTTTCTATAACATGAAAATAAAGTTCTTATTTTATGAAAAAGAAAATATTTTTTTGACATCATAAAAAGAAAGTATATATTTTATTAAAATAAAATAACATACTTTTTCTACATCATAAATACAAAAATTTTATTTTGTTGAAATGAAAAAGAAAATAATTTATCTACAACATTAAAAGAAAATACTTTTTCTACAACAGGAAAAGAATGTACTCATTTTGTGAAAAAGAAAATATTGTTTCTCATGAAAAGAAAGGATTTTTTTTTTGTTGAAAGAAAAGAAAATATTTTTTCTTCAACATGAAAAGAAAGTACTCATTTTGTGAAAAAGAAAATAATTTTTTTACATCATTAAAAGAAAGTACATATTTTATTGAAATGAAAGAAAATACTTTTTTCACATCATAAAAAGAAAATATTCATTTTGTTGAAATGAAAAATAAAATACTCTATCTACAACACTAAAATAAATTACACTAAATAATATTTTTATTTAGAGTAGGGGTGGGTGTTCAGGGGTAGGGTGATGGTTGGGGTGGTGGGAGATGGGTTGGGGTGGGCGAAAATTCTAATGTTGCTATTTTCTTATTATTCTGATCTTTATTATTTTTATTCCAAAACACAAATAATTTTTATATATGCTTGTTTAAAAGTTGACAACACTACAAAGATTTGGGTCAATTTGGGCGAATTAGATTTCAACTCATTGTTTAACTCATCTTAACTCAACCTAATCTTAATTCAAGTGAACTTTGGGTAGGATTGGACGATGACCCATCTAATAAGTCAGTCCATCATGACGAGCCCAAACAACCCATTTGGCACCCCTAAAGAAAATATAATCCTTTGAATGTGTGTTAGGTTTGTGTGGTAAAGTCCTTTATGTAGAGATTACAATATTGAGGATTGTCATATTATGCCGACTAGGAATACCGAATTGCAGTGGCGGACCCAAGTGGTGGCTAGCGGGTTCAACTAAACCCGTTTAACAAAAAAATAATACTGTGTATATGTATAAATTAGGATTAAAGCTGTTTAAATTTTGCATAAATATTTTATTTGAACCCACTTGACAACTACTATTTTACGACTAAATTTATATACTTCTAAGATTGAACCCGCTTGTACAAAATTTTGGGTCCGCCACTGCTGAATTGTATTATGTCATACTTTATACTTAAACTTAAATAGTTGCCTACACGCAACAGATTAAAAATAAAAATAGTCAGAGTGAACATATGATTCATGTATAATTGTGTTAATATCAGTTTATAATTTATTTATATCTCGGTTAGAAAAGTAAACAATAAATTGGGTTAACTATTTGCGTAAAGATTCCTTCCTTCACCCCCCCCCCCCAAAAAAAAAACAAAACTTGAGCCGTCGAAAAATTTATTTTTGCAAGTCAAAACATGCTATACTATTTTTGGATTGGATTCTACAACAATAATTTTGTTATATCTTCTATTTCCTTTGTTAATGCACTTTACTATGTTAATATGGGTTGTCTTTTTTCTTTTTTCCTTTTTGTTAAATTTTACTGCACCTACCAAAGACAAACCCCTTATCAGCCAGGGACCAACCAGACAATAGAATCCTTCCAGCTACCCTCAAATGAAAAGAATCTCAGAAAAATAAATCAGATGGAACAGGCCCCAAATCAGCTACATTTAAACTTTACTATAGCGGACCGGAATTTTAGTAACTCAGCTATGTGAACTTTTACCTTGTTAGCTAGTGTTTAATACCATTTCTCCTTCCCCTCCTCTATGAATAAATAGCAAAAACATATGTCGGTTAATGGTGCGATTTGAGAAAAATTATTAGGCTCATATTCTCTCCCTCCTATAATGCTTATAGATAAAGTGCTTCTTTTCAGATTAGTTCTTGTTGCAATCGCTTCGATCCACCTCGATAAAAAAAATCTAATATGCCTTGAGAATTTTCTTCCGACAGACTTCCCTATACTCAAAGTGAATTATCTAAGTGCTATCCTTTCTTTCATTGGTTATCTAGTAATTATTTGATTCCGCCTTTAAAGTTGGCTCCTACTCCTCCTCCTCCTTTTAAGGTTGGATCAGGGGTCGTGGTATGCCTAGGTCGGAATTGAAAAAATGGTACAAAATATTCAGTTACAATATATATGACTAACAGGGAAAAAAACCCTATCTCATGTGTTTTATATTATCATTTCCTACGTCTTTAACAAAAGATCTCCTATAAAATTGATCATTTAACCCCTAAACCCGTCGAAATCCTCCATTCTTCAGAACTAAGCGTACAGTTTATTGCCATTTTAAGAACGTAATTAATCAAGTATCAAAACCAAATGATAAAATGTAGTACCAACTAAGAAGCAAAATTATAAAGATACTTACATCATTGCCATGAGCACTACCAAAACGGCTGGATCAATGGCAGAGATATCTACGACGGACTCACCAGCGTGTCTTGTGTTCACAACTTGGTAAAATGAACCCACAATTTTCTGGTAACTATTTAGCCCATTCAGGGTATCGGAATTCCATTCATAAGTGCAAAACAAAAATAACTGCAATGATATGAACCCAAACACCGTAACCACTAAAAATCTTGAACTTAGGCCAGGAAACAAGTGGAGATGTCCTATCTCTCTTGAATTCTTCAACAAAAACTTAGCTTCCCTTTTTTTGAAGAATTTTCCGACGAACCAAACAGAAACTCTCAAACATGCTGGATACAATGTGTTTCCAAACAGTATTGAGGGAATTAGAATCAAAAGAAGTCCTGAATTCTTGCTAAATGCAGCCATATTTTCGTTTGTCGGAACGAAACCACAGCTTGCAAAGGTAGAAACAACTGTGAAAATAGCGAAGGTGGAGGTTTTTAGCCCCTTGTTTCTTAGTACATCTTTTGTACTTGAGACACAGGCTAGGTACACTAGAACTGATGAGATACCAAGAATGTGCATGACTAAAAAATATACTAAAACTACAACCCCTAGGAATTTAATAGAAATGTACTTGAGAGTTTGAGTATCTGACGATGAACCAAAATCATCTTGATCAAATTCATCTTTTTCTAAGTTGGATTTTGGGGAATCAGGTATTACCACAATGTTCAACTCAATATCGTCATTAAAATTTGTGTTTCTTGGAGAAGTGGTAGCACTACTAATTACTGACTCAATTTTGCTATCTTTTCTCCATGGCTTAAACTTAGGCCTAATTAAATGAAGACCAACCATAGAAGTGAAGACCTCACCACCTATTAGCATCAAAAATGTTATAAGAATAAGTTGTGAATTGGAAAAGACTTCCATTTCTACAGTGGACATGCTCGAGACTGTCACAGCAGAAACAGAAGTGAAGTACAAGTCTAAATTCCTAGGTGCAAAATCACCACTAGTACTCCTTGATTTCAAGATTCTGAGAATCCAAAAACCAATAAGGGAGATGAAGATGAAGTAAAAAAGTTGTACGAAAAATTTGTGAACTCTAAGAAGAATGAATTTGTAAAAGCAAGAAATGAGGAAGCATGTTGATCTAACAAAGCAAACAAGGTTTGAATATACGGAGTTACAAAGATGTTGTAGCTTGTTTCCAAAATAAGATAAACTCTTCATGGTTTTAGCCCAATAATTAAAGAAAAGCTCAAAAAACTTTCTTCTTGGGGTTTTGTGAAATAATATGTGGAAAGGTATATATAAAGGTAGTAATCATGAANATATATATATAGCCAAAGCAAAGGCCAAATGGCTCATTTGCCATTCGTTTTTTTTTCTTTAGAGCCGTATCAAATTGGGAAAAGAAAGATAAGCAGAAAGCTGTGGATGAAAATGAAGAAAGAGTATCCACCTCTTTTTTGGATGGTGGAGTGCAGAGTTATTGGCCAAAAGAAAGCAGCTGATCACGTGCAAAGCACATGGGATGAAATGCAAGTTATTGAAGCATATGTAATCTAACCACCCACATGGAATCTTCGACCAACAGACCAAAACATGAGATATCCATGCCCGCGTAATGATTGATTCCTTCAGATTTTTTTCTTTTTTGTCTGTTACTGGGTCCAAATTAAGAAGAGTCCCTTAGACATTTGTTTGTACTTAACGGAGGTCTAAATTTTAATCATTCAGATCTGAGATGTTAAATGCGTTTGTTTTTAAAGTGTGAATCTTAATTATTTAAATTTTAATCATTAAGTATTTTTTTTTTATTTCACAACCACTTAATAGGTCCGAATAGGTCTGTATGATTAAGATTTATAACAGATACTTAATTTAATTAAGATACTATCATCCATATTCTTTATTAATTGCCGCATCGCCTACCATTATCAACTACCACCACCACACCACCATCATCATCATTACATAACCTCCACCATTATCGACTATCACCACCCACCATATCCATCACTGCCGCCACCATCATTCTCAACCACAGTCAACACTCATTCATCTCAACTACCACAACTAACTATCCCATCAACATCAACATCAACAACCAGAGCCGGCACTATCCATCATTATAACCTACCACCACCCACCATCATCTTCCTCAATCACAACTACCATCACCACCTGCCATTATTAACTATCACCACCCACCACCACCATCCCCAATCATAATCGCCACCATTACCAATCACCATTAGCTAGCTACTACTTTGAACCACCACCATCAACCAAAACTACCTCCAACCATCGCCTCTAGTTGGCATTCACCCGTTAGCCATCACCAACAACAACTATCATATTTTAAAAAATTATATATTTTATTGATAGAATATTAGATTAATTAATATTTCATTTGAATTTTATGTTTATTAATTTTCAAATAAAGATAAATCTTATACATTCAAATGTTAAAAATCAAACAGTCTTAATTATTTAGTATTCACATCTTAATACACATCTTGATATTCAATTGTGTATTCAGATTCAGATGTCTTAATCTTAATTCACATCTTGATATTCATACGTGTATTAAGATTCAAACGTCTTAATCTTAAATAAAACAAATGAGGCCTAGTCTTCATTTTATATTCTTCATTATCTAGTAATATGTATGTTTATCATGCAACTTCACGTGCGACCAAATATATTGTGAAAAGTGCACTAATTCATGCGCCAATAATAGGTGATAGTGCGATTGAAATCCAGAATCTCGGTCCACTCTAATATCATATAACATCGCATAAAACACTTTAGGAATTGATGATTTCATTCACACACTGGTGCTACATCATGTACGCGGTTTAATTAGAGAATGAACAAAACAGAGTAATAAGGAGAGTTAGGGTTGTGATATAGTTCAACTACTGCAAAAGGCTATCTAGAGGAGTTTGACTTGGGATAACTCCTTGGTACATATGTCATCCAATAACATTACTCTCTCCCTTCAATTCCAAAAAGAATGTTACGGTCCAGAATCAAATGAGTTATTCTTTGCTCGTAACTTTTTTTATATACATTTTAAATATTCTGAAATATTGTATATATATTATTTTTAAAATTTTAAAGATTTTATATCCGAATTCGCAATTAAAATTAAGAAATTTGACTCAATATCAGAACTGTATAATTCTTTGGTATGGAGGGAGTATCAAGCTAATTTGTTTAGCAAAATAATTTGAGATAATGCAATTTTGGTCCTTTTACGTACTATTTGTAGATGAATTGATTCGACAATGACTCAAGTAAATATGCTTATTTGATTGGATATTCTTCGATTTTCAGTTTGTCTCATTTTCAATTATCCGCGTGCTAAAATTTGAAAAATTGGGGCCGAAAGAAAAATTGGGCAAGAAAAAAGAATAGTATTATAGTGACAAAATAGAAGCCAACTGCATGAATGGAAGGCTCCGCGTGAAGAAAGTGTACGCAGGTGCATGCGCGAGAAGTATGCCAGATTAACGCAGAGCTGTGCCAAACAAGTCCGCTCGACTTAATATGAAAGGTGAATAAAGACGCATCCAAGATTTAAATGCAATGGGTGTAACTTTGTATTAAATTCATTCACTACTGGAAAATGACAGAATTCCGACAACCAAAACGGTCAGAAATCGGTCGGAAATCACGAATTTCCGACTACTTTCCGACCAAAATTGGTCGGTCGGAAAACAGTCGACTGAATCCGTCGGTGATTTGCGATCAAAGTAGTCGGAACGTTCAAAAAGGTCAGATTACAAAATATTTTCAAACTTCCGACCAAAGTGGTCGGAATTTTACCGACCGAATCAGTCGTAATAATATAAATAAAAATAAATATTTATTTAAAATTAAATAATAAAAATATAAAATTTTCGATCGAATCGGTCGAAATTAATAATTAAAAAATAAAATTTATATAATTTCCAACGGAATCCGTCAAAAACTGTTAAATATTAATTTTGTTTTTAATTTTCGACCGATTCGGTCGAAAATCTAGGTGTTTTTGGAAAAATCTAGGAAGCTGTCCGACTGTTTCTGTCAGAAATCAGTCGAAATTTTCTGTAAAACTGGCTAGAATTCTGCTCAATTTTGAGCTTCACCACCTGTCAAACTATTACAATACAATAACGCCAATAACCAATCAACAAATATAACATTTAAACCAACAATACCAACCATTAACACAATCTAAACCAACAAAATCCATTAAACCTAATAATTTTGGGCATAAAACATCCAAATAGTATCCCACATTCAAGTTTAAAAACAAAACCTAAAGTTATCTCTCACAATCAAGTTTACCAATCAACCAAAACACTGCACCTAAACTACTACACAATAGATTCAGTTTGTTCATCCTCATCATCAGATAGATCATGCCCATATTTTCTCATGAATTTCTGCATCTTAACGAATGTTCCGAATTGGAAGTCCAATTGTTGCTTCAAATCACGAATTTCTTTTCTCATATCTTCCATATGTTCTTGATTTTGAGAAGAAGAAGAATTGGCTAAGAGTGGATTTGGATGACCTGTAGGTCGACGTACTCCAAGTCTGTAGACTTTGCCTTTGTTTACTCCACCCGCCACCTCTATCCACAATGAAGCCATATCATCATGTCTTGGTTGAGTTGAAGGAGGTTGAGTTTGTTCCCATTCTTTCACCATTTTATGATAATCTTCCTGAAATGAAAACATAACTATTATGTAAACAAACTGATATTAATAAATCATAAATAATTATGAAGTTAGTATTTTACATATGTGTCCGACGCACACGTCTCCACCAAGTGTTCTGTTGTACCATCTTTATTCTTTTTGTTATGTGTCTCCTCGAATACCTCAGCATGACTCATATCTCACCCTCTTTCTTTTTTCTTCATAACAAAAAGTATGAGTTAGACATTACAATCGTAAAATTCTATATGCTGACTACCATAAAAGATCGGGATGCAGTAGCTGGGTGAGCCATCATGTTGACTACCATGAAAGCTCGGGGGTGCAGCAACTGGTGAGCCAATATGCTGACTACCATAAACGCTCGGGTGTGCAGCAGCTGGTGAGCCACCATGTTGACTACCAAGAAAGTCAGGTGAAGAAGATGGTATAGAAGGTGTGGGTACAAAGTTAAAAATAATGTTATTTTGACCTCCTTTGGCAGACATATAATAATACTAAACTGAATTATTAGATGGAGGGGGGATAGTAAACATGGTAGATGGCAATTAAGTTGACTGATGAGGATGAGGAAGAGGATTTCGAGGAAGAGGAGGACTCATATTTGGCATACTAGAGGTAGTTGGAACAAATTATTCTTTCTTCTTAGATTTCATCTTTTCCTTCCCCTTAGATGTCATATCTATAATATAATCATAATAAGTAAAAAAAAAAAAATACAACAAGTGATAGTAAATATAAAATAATTATTCTACAAATTAAACGACTAAAGAAATAAATAAACAACCTAACAAGTCATCAAAATATAAAATAATTTTGCAACATAATAGATAATTAAAGGAATAAAATGCTTAACATGTCATAAAAAAATATACAACAATTCTTCAAATATATTATACTATTAAATTCATTCACTAAATTCATTATACTACCTATGAATTCAAATTCATATGAATATATATATATATA